TCTCATCTGCCTAATGTAGTAAAATAAGATTGTTTTGAGGACTAAATAAGTGTATCTGTGTGTGTGTGTTTGTGAGAGAGAGAGAGAGAGAGAAAGAGACAGAGAGAAAAAGAGAGAGGCACAAGTAACAAGCACAGCCAGGTGTGGTGGCTCACACCTGTAATCTCAGCACTGAGAGGCTGAAGCAGGAGGATTGCTGTGAGTTCAAGGAGAGCCTTGGTTACAAAGTGAGTACAAGGTGAGCGTGAAGTGCATAGCAAAATCCTGTCTCAAAAAGACAAAAAAAAGAAAAACAAAAACTCAAGCACAGTATAAAAGTATAGGGTGTACCTGTATTCATTAATTACATGCTAATTACATGTTAAACACACACACACAACCCTATGATCAAAATTGCCTTGCATGTTTTCTTCAAAAGAACAATGACAGAACATAACAGAACGCCTCAAAAGTTAAATAAATGTGGGGCTGGGGATTTAGCTCAGAGGCAAAAGCGCCTGCCTGGCAAGTGCAAGGTCGTGAGTTCGGTTCCTGGTACCGGAGAAAAACCAAAAAAAAAAAGTTAAATAAATGCAACCCACGCATTCTGAATATTTCCTTGAAACTCAGCACTATATTATTAAAATGTGGTTGAATCACTACTTGTCACTTCAACTAAAGGGACATAAAACCTGAGGTAGAACATTCGATTCTTCTCTGAGCCAAGTTAAAAGAACACAGTTGTTAGCATTAGGTTTCATATTTAATTCCTCTTGTGATCATATCTCATATCTTTACATAAGAAACTTTTAAAACAATTTATTTTGTTTTCAGCAAAAAAGAGAGAGAGAGAAAATAGATGAAAGGATTGAAGTCTCTTAGATATTCTTGTGATCTTATTTGGTTTTCCCTTAATGTTGATTTACAAGAACTCTATACAACTTCTTTAATTAAGAAGAAAGGTGGTTAGAAGAGTGAAATTGTTTTGTCAGAGGGAACCAAGGCATTTTGATAAAATTGATCACTTAAAACCAGTGTTTAAATTAAATACATGTAGTTGCACTTTGAACCTCATTAGGATGTAATCTGATGCACTAAAATAAAATCTACTTTTCATTAGTTACAAAAGGCATCTCCCCTTAAGATCTATTACCTATATAATATATATGTGTGTGTGCATATATATATGTTTACATATATATTTCAGTTTTAAAAAGTTTTAATGCTTAGAGATAGTCTTAATAATGTTACATGACTAGGCTTTTATAGTTTTAATTATATATTTGTAGCATTCTTAGCATCTTCTGCTTTTATGAAAAATAACATGATCTGTGTGCCATTATTAAGGAAGTTCACTTGTTGTTACAAAATAATGAGCAAGAAAGCATTACCAGGAGTGTTTGAATGAAACTAATGATGCTAAGAAGCAGCAATAGGAAGAAACCTATGGAAAAATCACCCAGCATCCATCACTGAGAAAGCACAAGATACCACTGAAAATGTTTATTGCCTCTTTATGGTTGTTAGATATGAATGAACTGTCGGTAACGCTGGATAAATAGCCATTGCCAGAGAATTTGACTAATTCTTTCCAAATGACAAAAAAAAAAAATCCACATGTTGTTTGCTTATTTTTGGAATTGGAGTGGGTATAAGCGAAGATGATATAAACAGGAGGGGATGACAAGTTGAGATTTTATTAGAGATGGCTGCTAACAGTATGGATTTATTAAAATAAAATGAAAATGAGACATGAAATAGTGAGTGCTTGCCCAAGAAAATGGAGCTGTATGATTGTTGATGTGCCTTGGGCTGTGCCATAGATAGCGCTGGAGAGACACAACCCGAAAGCGCTCGCTTATTTAAAAAAAAAAATCAAATTCTAAACCATGAAATGAAATAAATCTTTTAATGTTTTTGGTACCTCTACATTTTACATTCTGTTCTTCTTCCTACACTTCAAGCCCTCCCTCAGGCTGCCAGCTGGGATATTTTGATTGAGAGCGGTGCATATAAACAATTACACTTTGTGACATTTGATATAGCGGGCCCAGAAGGCTAGCGATGGATTTAGTAAAGATGATGTAGCCAGCTGAAGCCACTTGGAATGTTAGGTGGGAGAAGATCAGGAAGCTGGACTTGGCAGATTCATTTTTAATGTTTCTGGAGTCACAAATCAGAAAAAGCAGTGATCGGCCATCTTTCTGTAACTGTGATGTTCTGTCCGTAAGTGCCAGGCACAGCAGTTCCACTGTCAGTGGTTATCTGGTAGCTACCCCTGCTTGCTTCTAACTACGTACGGATACGGAACTTCTCATACTGATGCTCAGGGCAGTTCACTGCGTCAGTGTGATATGAGGGAGTCTGTGAAAACGTCTTAAGTCGTATGAAAAAAATTTCTTGCTTAGGTCTCTTTTCTACATCTGACTGCTCTATAGCTTTCATTACCTTCCAAGGGATGTACTGCCACTCACAAAATAAAGGTGACCTGCATAACAATCTAATGGCTCCATTTGTCTAAAATCATCCAGTGACTTCCTAATTACCACAGTCATTGGCTAACTGTTCACTCACTCTCTCCTCATCTCTCCCTCTCTTCTCTTTAAAATATTGCTACAGTTCATCTTCCCTTTCTAGATAATTTTCTGACTTTCATGGTTATGGCTTTCCTCCGTTCCCTTTCTCCTTGCCTCCTAAATTCCCTCTCTGTCTTGCAGTGACTACTTTTTCTTCATCGACCAGGAAATGAAACTTTCCCCAGCATTCCCCTTGCTTCTCCTTGTGTTAATTTATGTGGTTGACATGAACACTATTTTATCTGTGTCACCCTTCCAATTTTGTAAGTTTTACATTGGCTTATCCGTATGTTTTTGTTCATCTGCTAAAACATGAATTTAGAAATGACAAATTCAGCTTTAAAAAAACAGAAGTCCACTTATCTCTGTTACAACTACCTTCCAACCCAGACTAATTACTCTCTATCACTTGGACTGCTCCAGTTGTTTTCTAGCTGTTTAATTCCTATTTACCTTAAAATTTTGCTTCATTCAGTTGTTGGCTTTACCCATTCATATAATGGAAAACAAAATGTTGAAATCCTCCAATGTTTTCCTTGCACTTTCTACACTAGATCAGAGATCTTCCCTGGTCGGACCCACAGTGACTCTTGGCTTCAAGGGTTTTGGTGTTCTCTTTGCTGATACCTTTTCTTCCTTTGCAACCTGCGTACTGCACTGTTAAATCATGATTCGACTTTATTGAGACCCCCAAAATATTCAGCGTTTCTGCCTTGCCATCAGAAAGAAATCCAGTTGCACACTTTTTCATCCAGTGTTTTTACCATCATTTACTACTTGCACAAAACTCAGCCTACACATTCTTGCCCATGTGGCTATCATTCATGTTTGTGTGTTTGGTCTTTTTTCACCATTTGTAAAGCTCTTCTTCCTTTTCTAAACATCAAAATATTACCTAATCAGGGCTAAGGATGTAGCTCAGTGGCATGAGCACTTGACAGGCAAGCCTGAAGTCATGAGTTCAATTCCAGGTACCAAAGAAACCCCAACATATTACCTAATCTTGAAATAAAAGGTTAATAGCAAAAACACTGCCACCAGAAAGTCTTTGATCTGTGCCACTAATATATTTTGACTGTTAGTCACATTAGTATGTGCCTAACCTACATAATACACTTCCTAAAAAATATACACTTCTTGAATTCTTTTTCCATTTTGAATTAACCATTTTAAACTCCACATTTCTGTTTCCTTTGATAAATAAATCGCCCTCTTTACTGACAACAAACAAACATATCAATGGTCTACAGTTATTTGTACAATAAAATCCCACTTCTGTGTGGATCCAAAGTCTGCTGTTTCCGTATCTGTCACACACACCACTACTTTGTACTGTATTCTCCTGCATCAATAGGGTCATTATTTTCTGCCACACAAGATGCACTCAGACTCTCCAGCATTCACTTTTTATTCCTTAGATTTTAAAACCTCTCCCTTACGGTATCTTATTGTCTGAACTTTAAGCTGGGTCGAATGCTTCTCTTAAATCTTCCTATGTTTTGTGCATTTTGCTTGGTGCATAGCATTGTGATGAACTCATGAGCCTGTTTCTCAACTTATCAACGCCAAGTTCTGGCGATACAGAAGTGTTTTACTTTTGGTGCCCTCATACCTGCATACTGTAAATGCTGGTAAAGGTGTGTTGAAGTGAGGAGTAACTACACACTTGTCATATGCAATTTTATTTATTTATTTATTTATTTATTTATTTATTTATTTATTTGGTTTTTCTCCGGTACCGGGAACCGAACTCACGACCTTGCGCTTGCCAGGCAGGCGCTTTGCCGCTGAGCTAAATCCCCAGCCCCCAATTTTATTTATTATTCAAGATTTATCTCAAGGGCCACCACCCTGTAAAGACCGCCAGGATATCCCCGGTAGGATTAATCTCTCTTTTCGGCAGTCTTGCTTTAACATCTCTTGGCTCCTTGCAGTGCATTTTTGGTTTTTTGTTTTGTTTTGTTTTGGTTTGGTTTGGTTTTTCTCCGGTACCAGGAACCGAACTCACGACCTTGCGCTTGCCAGGCAGGTGCTTTGCAGCTGAGCTAAATCCCCAGCCCCCTTGCAGTGCATTTTGTAAGCTTGTTATTTTTATGTGTGACAAAAACCCTCCCCGGGCTCCAACATCACCTCCTCCAGAAAACTGCCCTTGACACCCGCAAGTTAGGTGAAAGCTCTCCCTTTGAATTCTTCAATCTCATAATACACTCACGAAGATATATTGAAATGATTGAGCATATCTAAGCTTCGCTCCCTAATATGAAAACTTTTAAAGCCTAAAGGGGAACGCAATAGGGTCTAAGGCTGTCAGCAAAGTAGACAGTGAATATTTTATAAATGAGTGAAATGTCTTAATAGACCTAGATGAGTGATAGAAAATTCATTTTCTCTTTTAAGATGAATAAGATTCTCTAGACTGTTCACCAGTTTTAAGCATTATTTTTATATTTTCTGACTTAGGCAGCATTTATTCTGTGATTCTATTTTATATTATCTTTGCTTTAAAGTACTAAAAAGCAAATAATACTTTAGTTATTTAATAGATTTTATGTTTAAACTTAAGTAGCTCTTTGCCAATATCCCAGACCCCCAGCCATTGTTTTATGCCTTTCTATTTTTCGTTCTAAAAGTTACCCTGCAGAAAGATTGTGGTAGCATCTAGTAAGTGCTTCACACACTTACCTGGCTGCCACAAATTGGGTGCATGAAATTTCTTTCTTTTTAATCCTGAGCCAGATTTACAAATTGGAAATGCCATTGTAAATATGCAAATAGTATGGAAATTATCTTACTGATTAGGTTAATTCTAGTTTTTCTCCGGTACCGGGAACCGAACTCACGACCTTGTGCTTGTCAGGCAGGCGCTTTGCTGCTGAGCTAAATCCCCAGCCCCTGATTAGGTTAATTCTAAAGAACCTGATTATGTTCTTGGCCTGCCCATCTGTGAGAACAATCAATCAAAAGAACCAGTTATCATATTTAGATTAAAAGCTATTAACCAGGCATAATATCTGTGTAAGAATTAAGACACTCAAGAAATGCTAAGTGCTAATATTAAATGACCCAGTGAAATATAGCAAATGTTGTCTTTGTTTAAACTTGCAGCAGTTGCCTACAGCTTATATAAAAATTAACACTTTTATCAGAGTACTATGGCTATGCTTCTAGATGAAGCCGATGTAAATGAATTGGAACTGAAACGTTGAAAGTATTACTGGAAACTAAGAAGTGCTATTTGGGTTTTAATCTGTCTTTGAAATTATAAATTTGGTATAATCCTCTTTAAACATTGAAATATCAGTCTGAATGTTTATGGTTTGCCATAATCATACTTAGAACTCATTACTTTCAAGGGAAAAACACAGAAAAGTATATCTTAATTTATAGTTTTTATTTGCCACAGGTATTATAATTTTGTACTTTCTTGTGTCTCTTCCTTGAAAAATTGATGCTATCTGCGCTAATTTTTTTTTTTTTTTTTTACCTTGTAGAAGGTGTTTGTAGTAATAGAATGGCCTATAACTTTTAGTGAAGACAAACCCTGGATAGAAGAAAAAGTGTAATTTGCTTAAAGTATCAATTGCTTTTCATGATATGAATTTATCACTGAGAGATTTGTTTTCTTTGTCTTTTAAAGGAATTACAACAGTATCTGGCTAACTTAGCTGAGCAGTGCAGTGCTGATAATAACGGTGTAGAGCTCCCGGTTGTAATAATTCTTGATAATCTTCATCATGTGGGATCTTTGAGTGATATCTTCAATGGCTTTCTCAACTGTAAATACAATAAATGGTATGGCTGATAACATATTTTAAATAATCATGTGTAACGTGGTGATGTCATTTGCTTTCTTATACCTTTTTGCATTTTAAGAGCTATGATTTGTGCCATTAACTTGAGATCCCCTCACTAATACTGTATCATACTTTCGACGAATCTACAGGTAGTATTCCTAAGAATGTCTATTCATTCAACAGCTGTGCCAGGCCCTTTTTATGAAACATTACTTCCTTGATACTGGTAGGTTCTACAGATCAGTGATGAATAGTTTGAATGAGGAAAATGGTAGCTAGCAGGAAAGTTTAGAGCTTTAGTTTAATTTTAATTCAATATCAAAGTTTAAATTCTAGCTTTCTCTAGAGATAAATTGAATTCATTTAGACATGGCTCTATTATTTACTGTCATGTTTTCTACTTACAATGAAGGGGGGGTTAATAAAGGAGATGACAAATCTGAAGACTAGCTAAGATTCATTGTAGCATGGCTTCTAAAGAAAGGACATACAAGGACATAATGAACAGAAATGATTTTAATTTTAATGGCACTGACTATCCCAATTAAAATTAATTGGGTTGGACATAAATCCACACATGTTATGGAAGACCTTTAAAATAACTTTGAAATACTAAAATAGGAAAAAATAATAAATTTCAATTATAATCATTAGTGATAAGATGTTAGAGTGGGGAAAAATCATACGATTATTCTGTCTAACATCTCTGTTTTATAGATGAGTAAATTTACACTGAGAGAGAGAAAATGCCTTAATTTGATGGCAGAATTGAAATTAGAGCCCCCAATAGTAATTTGCAGTACCCTTGTGTCTGCCATTTTTCCGTCCAACACTACAAAATGTCCTTAAAATAGTCTTAAAGACTATTTTTAAAAGGCAATAGCTCTTATTTGTCTTGTTTTCTAAAATGATTTTAATGCATGAATCCCTTTTACTTTGAGTATGTCTACATTTTGTATTCCTTATTTTTCTTAGTCCATATATCATTGGAACAATGAATCAGGGAGTTTCTTCGTCACCAAACCTAGAACTGCATCACAACTTCAGGTAGGTTCTTTCCTTGGCGGAGTGGGTGGGATTGGCTGGTTGTGTATCTTGCTGTTTGCCTTTAATGTTTACTTTTCCATTTCTTTCGTACCAATGCTGCCGGTGATGATCCGTGGTCTGAGAGTAATTCTCACATCTTCTGACAGGTTTTCAAGCAGACATTTTGTGATCCTCAACCTGTAATCAGAAGTGTTTCTTTAAAAAAAAAAAAAAAGAGTAGAAATGTTTTTCCTGCTCACTATGTCCCCAGCTAAACTAGAGCACTTTTCTTCTAAGCGTGAGGGTTCCTATTTCAGGATTCGTGATTCTGCTGCAGAAGAGAGATCAGCGTGTAAACGCCCACTAGCTGCTGACGCACAGGAGCTGCTCTTTAGCTCCGAAAATGGAGTTTGCCGCACTGTAACTCTAATGAAAATAAACTGCCTAACTCCTTGAAGCATTTAATGTGCCCACCAATTTATATAGGATTTCTATTACTTTGTATTGAAATGGAAATTAATGTGGAATTACCTTTCATTCGTGTCAAAATGTCTGATTTCCTTTTTGTAGGTGGGTATTATGTGCAAACCACACAGAACCAGTGAAGGGCTTTTTAAGTAGATACCTTCGAAGGAAACTGGTAGAGCTGGAAATTGAAAGGAATATACGCAATAATGACTTAGTCAAAATTATAGATTGGATTCCTAAAACATGGCATCATCTCAACAGTTTTTTGGAAACGCACAGTTCTTCCGATGTTACCATTGGTGAGTTCCAGAATTACAATATGCCATTTTGCAGGAACTAAAAGTACTTGGTAATGATGACCAGATTGGGTGATGGAAAATAGCAACCAAACCTAATGTTTTTCAGGCCCCAAAATTTAAATTTATTTTTTCTTTCCTGAAACTTTGCCTTTTTCTGTTTTGTATGGTTAATTAAATTCATTCTGTCTCACAATTATGGCTCACTAAAATATTGCTGCAGTCAAATGAATTCAATAAAGGCAAATTTCTAAAAGCAGGTTATCATTTGAGATAAATAAGTAGTTTCTTTTTGGGAATCTTTTAGTGCTAAAAACAAATTTTACCTAATTGTTTATATGAAATGTATGACAGAAGATTTTTGAAATAATTTAGCTGATATGTAAGTAATTTATTCTTCTCGAAGACAAAAGTTTTGAATTATCTTTCTTACATAGGCTTAATAATGTTTGCTTTCGTATTCTTTAAGTTGGCATGAATCATAAAATGTATTATAAATGCAATGTAAATGAAGAATTCTATATTTGGATCAAAATATCCAGAGGCCAAATTCTACAGATAAATGACATTGTATATTCAATAATTCATTTCACTACAGTTAAATTTTAAGTTATTTGTAAAAGTTAGCAAGTTGACTGCTTCATGACATTTACTATTTCTCCTGTTAATATGTTGTGCTTTAGATTAATATTTTATCATAAAAAGGGAGAGATCAGGAGATTGAGTATTGAATGAACATATGTTAATAAAGATCTAAGTAGTCACGATTATAATTTGCTAGGCATCCTGTGAAAAATATTGTGTCCCAAAATATTTTCTAAATAGGTGTGAAGATTGGCAAATATAACACTTCTCAACCATGTCTTGTTGTTTGTGTTTTCTTAGGTCCCCGACTTTTCCTTCCCTGCCCCATGGATGTAGAAGGTGCTAGAGTTTGGTTCATGGACCTCTGGAATTATTCTTTGGTACCTTACATTCTGGAGGCAGTAAGAGAAGGCCTTCAGGTATAATATTCAATTTACATAACTGTTAAAAACAAATAAAGGAGCAACCTAATTCATTGGAAATCAATAAAACATTTAATTCCTCAGGCATAAAACATGAAATATAAATAGAGCAGTCTAGAGCAACTAATATGCAGTGTTTGGTGTGAAAACAATTACGAAAAAGAGTGAGCAAACACAATCTGAGTGACAATTATCCATTTATTGTAGAATGTGTTGAGACTGCTTTTATTAGACAGTTAATCGTGTACTTGTGTGTCTTATGACACAGCCATGATTACTCAGGCTTTGATCAATCCTACTCATCGTATCACATATAGCAGGTAGTATTTACTTATAGGTTCCCTGATTTTAGTATGTTTCACTGTTTGAAGTTCTTAAAGATCACTTGTAAGAGCCTTTGCTACTTTTGAGGGAATACTCTGAATTATTAGAAAGTTGGTTTGTCTTTTTATCTGTGACAGGTTGGTTTGAAAGCCTCTTTCCCTTTTCCCTCATCTGCCTTACAGGCTTTACAACTAGTCCTGCTTATGCTTAACTAAAAAGCGAAAGTATATCACTAACAAGAAAACTCTGTTTCTTCAACAACATATATCATCCCTTCTCCATCAGTATTACTATTTCCCTGACTTGGGTATAAAATTTCATGAAATTGCAGAATTAGAAACTCCTGATTTGTTATGTAATCACCCAACTTAATGTGTAGGAATCTAATCTCCTTTTCAATAACTGAGCCAGGATTTAGGCAGTTTTTGGTTAGGTATATTTATTTATGATTTTCATGACTGCTACTAGAATTAACATATACTTGGAGGTGGAGTGAGAATTCAGCACACACAAGACCAAAAAAGCGAAACCTTTTAGGAGGTACACAGTTCTCATTGCTATTGAAGACTGTGCTAGCCAGAAAAGTCAGCTGGCTGCAGGTATTCCTAGGGAATACATCCATCACCTCTGGAGGACCAAGAAACAAAGGAGTTGTGTACATCATGAATATTCAGTTAGATCTTCTGGCAAGAAGGACCTTGAATTAGAGGTAGAGGTGAAAACAGTGAAGCTTGGTAGCAAAGATGAAACTCTGAATTCAGAGGAAATTTTTTAAAAATCTCTTTTCAGCTTTGGTGAGGACCAGTATGAGGAGTGCTGTCTACCTCCTCTTTTAGTTGGAAAAGATGCTGGTGATACAATGAACTGAATTTTGTATTGTCTCTCCCAAGTTTGTTCATTCCTTGCTTGATTCTGTAAAAGGCTGACATCTGTTGCTTTGAGGTGCTCATATTCCTTTATGGTTAATTCTAGATTCTCAAGCCTTTCCTTATGAAAAGGAATTATACTTTTTTCTTCAATTAGTTTAACCTCTAGAATAAACTAAATTTTACATCTTTATAAAGTAGGATTTTAGCTGAGAGAAAACTTTTTGTTTCCAAACAGAACTATTTTTAAAAATTCATATTCACTCATACTTTGAGAGTCAGAATTATTTTCCTGATAAACTTTTTCCTCCATTGAATTTCCTCTAATAACCTCATTGCTTCCTATAAAAACTCTTTTTAGTTATATCTCTATCTATATCTACATATAGTTATATCTAAATCTACA